ATTGGGAGGCTTCGGAAAAGGTCTACAGAGAATGGACCTTTAAGTGCTTTTGAGATTGAAAGCAGCTGAACATTATTGGGTAAAAATTACGCAACGAGAATCGTATCAAGCGGAAATAATTAAGTTATCAAATAAAAAAATCAATTCTCGATTCTTCCATCTACTCCCTTAATCCAAGGCTTGATGAGGAGGGAATTCTTCGGTTGAAAGGTCGCATTCAATTTGCAGACTGTCACGAGAATTTAAAACATCCTATTCTATTACCCTCAAAATGCAAGTTTACCGAGTTGATCATCATGGACTCGCATGAAAAGGGTATTCCATGCTGGAGTTAATTCGAACACTAACTCAGATCAGAGACAAATATTGGATCATTAAGGGAAGACAGCGTGTTAAGACTATCATCAGCAAATGTGTGATATGCAGAACGATATAGTGCTCGTCCTGGGGTACAGGATATCGCTCCACTTCCTCCAGACAGAATCCAAGAGTCGCCTCCATTTGCTGTGACCGGGTTGGACTTCGCCGGTCCATTTTTTACGAAAGACAGGCAAGGTAAAGTTTACATGCTGTTGTTAACGTGTGCGGTCACTCGTGCCTTACATATAGAGATAGTAACTGATCTCAGCACTGAAAGTTTTTTGCTAGCTTTCCGAAGATTTTTAGCTCGCCGAGGACTGTGTACCACCGTGTACTCCGATAATGCCAAGACTTTTAAAAGAGCTGACAAAGAACTAAAACATATTTTCAAAACTTTGAGTGACTCATCTGTGAAAGAATTATTTTCTGCTAGAGGCATAAATTGGAAATTTATTATTGAGAGGGGTCCATGGTGGGGAGGGTTTTGGGAGCGTATGGTACGAACCATAAAATCCAGCTTACGCAAAAAATTATTGGTCGATCATCCCTTACTGTGAAAGAGCTTGAAACAGTCAGTGCTCATTGAAATTGAGGCAATGATTAATTGTAGACCAATTACCTACGTGTTTACCGATCCCAATGAACCTTCTCCACTAACCCTCTCATTGTCTGGTTGATAGACGATTACTATCTCCACCTGCTAATAAAATAACATCAAATAATTTGATGGGATCAAGAAATTCAATTATTAAACGATATAAATATCATGAAGATATTTTAAATCATTTTTGGAAGCGTTGGAGATCAGAGTATCTTTTTAATCTGAGATCTGCCAATATTTGTCCTCCACACTCTAACGCATCTCAGTTTAAAATCAACAGTATCATCTTGATTCATGACGATAAACATTCCAGAAATCTCTGGACAATAGGTAAAATTTTGGAATTAATGCCAGGCAGAGATGGTAAAATAAGATCTTGCATAATTAAAACACCTACTGGTATCTTAAAAAGGCCTATACAATTGTTATATAATATGGAACTTAACTAATGTTTGTATTTTGTATTTTTAGGTTTGATTCTCCTGACCTTGCTGATAGGTATCATTTAATGTTTTGTAAAATTTATGTGCTTATAATTATGTATGCATGTTTGTTATATTTAACCTTTTCTCTAGAATTGATTGTCGAAATATTAATTGAATATTCTAGAATCTATCATTGAAAGACGAACTGTCCACAGAGTTCAGGTGGGAAGTGTTGCATAATTTGAAGGAAAAGGCTAGAGGGCGCTGTTTCTCGCATAGTTGAAAGAGAATAAAGTTTGTTTATGTTGAAGGCGGCGTCCTAAGAATACGCTCTGTATATAGTGAATTAAAATATTGTTAAAAATGTAAAAGTGTTAAATCAGATGATGGTGGTTCAATAAGTAGTAAACTCACGGAACCACCATCATCCGTTTTAGAAATGCACAAATTAATTCATTGCCAACAAAACATTTGTGGTCCATGTTAATTAGAAAGCCCCATAATCTTTTAAATTTCAAAGAAACTTTTATTAGAAATTTACATATTAAAAATCATGATAATATTTTTTAATTATTGTTATTATTCAGGGTTGCCACTCAAACAGGAGAATAAAATTCCCTGACTTTTCCAGGTGTGTTTCAAGAAAATTCCAGTCTATCCGCGTAATGTACGTTGGCTGTGCTAAGAGGTAAATTAATTATGGTATTACTTGTATAGTGTAGCAAATTCACTTAATTATTCAATAAATCCCAGAGGACATTTATTCTTAATTATTCTTGGTATACTTTGTTTGATAATTTTGTTTACTTTTCCACTTAAGAAACTTAATAATAAAATTTAAGATATATACATTGGATAACAAATGTACTCGTATGTTTTATTTAATTATTACTCATGATCATCACCAGTTCAACATGAGGCTAATCCGGTCCTTATAAATCACAAACGCAATGCTAAATAGTTAGGTTAGATTTTAGACAAATTTAATTTGTGTGAGGTAAATTAAAAGGCACCTTAACACTTGAAAACAAAAATATAATTATATAGTTGTTGTTTTCTCCACTGAAGATTGAGATTAGAATCTTCCCAATCTGGAATAAAAGAAGGCTTTTTTTGCAGACATTCTGCAGCTAAAAACGAAAGAAAGAAATCTATTTTAATAAATTGAGGTATTTTATATTTATTTCGCAGCATACATAAGGAAAAAATATGTGCATTAAATTTCGTGATGGTATGTCATCATACTGCTAGAATTAATTTCAGGATTATGCCAGAGAAAATTTCCTGAAATTTGGAAATATTATTTACTAATAATAAATAAATTTAGAGGGAAGAAGCAACATTAAATTATACGAATAACATAAAAATAAAGCTAATTACTTACAATTGAATTAGAATAATCAACGATATTTTAGCGAATATAGTTATATTACATGGTTAGCCTAGATGACTGATTACTATTTTTTTTTATTTTACTGCAAAATGGCAAGGTATTTATTTAAAAAAAAAAAAAAAAAAAAAAAAAAAAAAAAAAAAAGGTTTAAAAATATTTTGCGGTTAAATTCTAGTATACGGTAAGGTTTTTGGCACGATTTTGAAAATTGTCGCCAAGACCAAAATGACCTGTTTACTGCACATCATCATGCCACCAAATCCCATTGTACCATACATGGAGATTATTCTAACCAAAAAACGTCTATGTAAAGAAGAAAAGGTTCCATACAAGTAAAATGCTATTACGCCGCTAGAATGCGGAGGGAAAATTTGCCAAGGGATTTGGCAACGGAACCTGGCGGCCAGAATTTCCTTCTCCGCGATGTGCACCGAAATTGAGAAACATGGTTTAAGAAGAAACGTTCTTTGACAAAAAGAAAGCTACGAAAATCAGTTTTTAAATTATTGCGAAAAATCCAAGAAGAAACATTTTATCAAAGGACGTTTCTTCTTGGATTTTTCGCAATAATTTTAAAAACGGATTTTCGTAGTTTTTTTTTTTTTTTCCCCTGAAAATAACTAATCCATGAATTAATTTACTTGCGCCAAAAAATATTTTCTTTTCCTTTAGAGTTTAACCGCTTGCGCTAAGACTAAACTTCACGGTTGCGGTGCCGTGCGCTACAATATAACAAGCGGTAAAGTGTCTCATTTACGCCGCTCCGCATCTGCGAGTGCAATCCAGAGCTGTAACTCGAGAAATAAACAATCTCGTTGTTAGGCGACGTGTGCATCACGTTATTTTCATTTTTGCGATAAATGCTTATCGATGTGGTGTTCACGTCGCTCGCGGTTTGAAACAAAAGCATCTCGACGTGCGTGGCACGTCTTTTTAGCGCAAGTGGTTGAAGAAATTTTAAACGATATTCACTTTATGAACTCTTGATAACCTGACCTTCGAACTTCGACACCGGTTTCGAGCTTTGGCGACAGATATATCACCGCATGCACAGCTATTTCCCTCTATGATGGAACGGAGCCACGTAAGTTGCAGAGAGGTTTTCCTTCTTTACAATACATATTCTTTGATTCAAACGCCCATGGTACCGTATATTAGGATTAAAACCCATTTTTTTTATATGAGAACAGGTACTTTCTTTAGTTCATGCACTGCACATGCGATTCTCGAGAATACTGGAAACCAAAAGTTGCGGGAAACTTGCTTTGTCTTTCTAAAAGACAATCAAATTGGAGCTGCGAAAATTGGCTCTATGCCAGCTGCCCGAATGACACTCACGTGATACACAATTCGCCAAAAAAGTTACTTCTTCCGACGTCGGCGCAAAAATCGCTTTTTTTGGCGGGATCGTTGTATGTTCCCTGACTTTTCCAGATTTTGACAAAAATACTTAAATTCCCTGACTTTTCCGGTTCTCTCGGTTTTCCAGGTAGCGTAGCAACCCTGTTATTATTATTTGATTTAAAAATTTTTTACATTGAATTCCTTAAAAATACATTGCAGCACTATTTCTGTCAAGAGAACATCATACATCTATATAATAATAATAAGAAGAAACTTAATTAAATGTAAAAAATTATTTTCTTAAAGAACACTAAAAGATATGCATGTTAATGAGCTGGAAAAATAATATGATTAAATATCACATAACAACATTATTTTTTTAAAATTTCATGCAATAACGGAGGGGGGTATGTTGATAATAGGTAAAAATTAATCCTATAAAGCTCTATTAACACTTGGCAAACTATGAAATGCATATTTCATATAAGGAATTTAGTTATTTATATACCTCAAAAGGTTTCCCATACTTTTAATACTACATGTGTTTTCTCCCCAGTTGTAGAAAATTAACCAAAAATCACACATCACATAAATTAAAAAGATTTAATTAATTTATGAGAAATTTCATAATCAAATATATATATATATATATATATATATATATATATATATTAAATTTACATTTAATTATAAGAAAATTTAAGAAATTTATCAAATAAATTTAGATCTTAATATTTAAAATTAATTTAGATATTTGTAATACCTATTATTTTTTTAAAAATATTAAGAGACTTCAGAACATCACAAAAAGAGTATGGAAAAAAAAAAAAAAAATTTAAAACAGGGAAGAAACAATTATTATAGGAAAAGAGTTTACCTCACACTTGGACTAACTTGAGCTAAATTTGTAAGTGCTAAGAGAGCTTCAAAATTTTGCAACCCAGTACAATTTAGATCCAGTAATGCCATGATTGGTCTTACAACCTCAGCACACTAAGAAAATAAAGTGAACAAATACTTATTCTTTTACAACTTAGAGTACTTCCATATTTTTATAACTGTCATTTTTTTAAACCATTGCCAAGAATAGCAAAATTGCCAGCGGCGGTCTGTGTGCTGTGAATAGATCATGTTATGTGAATTGGTCATGTGTTAATGTATTTCCATTTTTTAAGGAAATGCTAACAATCTTAAACTTACTAATGACTAAGAAAAATGCTAGATCATTTTTCCAAGAAAGAAGCATTATACAGTCAAAAGTCGTTAATCCGGACTCGTCGGGACTTCGGAGATTCCGGATTATCGATTTTTCCGGATTATAGATGATCATCAGTTTAAATCTGGTAAGATGGCATGCAGAAATTACAAAATTAAAAATATGAAACCGTAATTTATGAAATAAAGAACAATTATGATCTAAAGGGTATCAAAATTTACAAAAAGAAAAAGCTTAATATTTATTTGTTTACTTTATTAAACATTTCCTTCAATGTAAGTTGCTTCGTTTCATGTGATAATACTTTCTCTTTAATTCTATTAAACAGACATAATTTCTTGTTTAGTTACAAAGTTCCGCTGTTCAAGTCCTATAATTGCTGTGTTGAGAATAACGACTAATTTGTCAATCGAAATGTTTTCGTTTTCAATAACCTCTGGGTCACTTTCTTCACTATCGGAAGCGAATTATAAGGACGAGGAACTTGATTTAAATCATATCAAAGACGGAGTATATCGAGATGAAATACTACACTTAGTACGGAATTATAAACCAAATAAAATAAAAACATCTGCTCTGAAGATAAGGATAGTGCTGATAGATCAACTTCCAATCCGCAGCGTGAAATTGATAAACAGATTTCGGATTTCAAAACATACTTTCGCTTTGTAGATACAAATTACATATTAGTAAATATATTCGGAAATTCTATTTGACATAATCTTTCTAATCTATCATAAAATCTAATAATGACGTTTCTGCCCCCCCCCCCTCTGCCGCAGAGCAGCGTGAAATTGATAAACAGATTTCGGATTTCAAAACATACTTTCGCTTTGTAGTAAATATATATCGGAAATTCTATTTGACATAATCGAAAGTTCAGGCTTACTTTTATAAAATTGCTCTAACAGTCTGCAAAAAATAATAAGCCGGATTCAATTCGAAGATTAAGGAACAACGCAATCTGCAATATTAACTGAATTAGATAACTTTAGCTTAGCGTATAACTCCGTTACACATAAAACGCGCATGCGCACAAACATATTCGCAGCTGTAAGGGTCTTATGCGCTCTCGTAAACGCCTGTGCGCATGCGTGAACGCGACGCATGCGCAGAAAGTTTGTAGCTTTGAGGTCCGGATTATAGATCATTCCGGATTATGGGTGTCCGAATTAACGACTTTTGACCGTATCTTGCATTTGAATATGCAAGGATGCTCTCAAATTAAAACAATACATTAATTAAAGCATTTGCTGGTGCAGTATAAAAAACTGCAAGAAAAGCATACATTCTGACAATTGGTGCAGTAGCTCCAGAATACTGCTTATAATAGCAATGGATTTATTTATTGTTGGATAGAAGAACTGATGTCAATTAAGTGGTATGAGAAACAACTCAAATATTTGTGAAAATATGATTATTGACTGGAACAGTTTTTTGAAAGAGCTTATTCTCTCCATTTAATCCAACAAGCAAATACGTGATTAGGTAGGTCAGGAAAAATTATGGAAATGGCTGAGGATGTGTTTGTTGGGGGGAGGGGAAAGGCCAGCTGAGTTCTTCCACACCAGTGGGTATTTACCAAGTTTTGTCAAGACATTGGTAAGTGCTTTCTTGTGGCAAAATTTGTGCATCATGCACAGGAGGGATTGATGATTTATGCAGACTGTTAGCCAGCATATAAAACAGAGGAACTGAAAATTTCATCTTGCGAAATTCACGTGGCAAAAGCCCTTGTGATAAGAGAAAAACTTTTGATACCATATTAAAGAGTAATTGTGGAAATATGGCAGCCAGGAATTGAAAGTGAAAAGCAAATATCGATTTAGTGATAATTTTGGCAGCATTACAATGGGAGCCATAAAGATAAGGAAGTACTTAACTTACTTATTATATAGAAAACAAATAGTGTTTTTTTTTTTTTTTTTTTTTTTTACAGCAGCATAACATTTAATTTCAGAGCAAATATAATAATGAAACATATTTAGCTATCCATTTAATTCAACTCAGCATAAATATATATTGGGTTGCCTGAAAAGTCATGACGCACTTTTCCTACGTTCTTTAAAGGTCCTTTAATTATATAAAGAACAATAAGCAATCAATAATACACTGCCTGTTTTATTGAATAACTTTTTAGTTTCTTTTAATGAGCTTTGTAATTCCTCATTTACACTAAAGAACCTAGCTTTATCAGTGAAAATCCAAGCAATGTGCTGATTTACGGTCTTGTCTGAATTGAATGTTATACCACAAAAGAAATTTTGAAGAGCACAAAACAAGTGAAAGTCTGGGTGGTGGTCTGAAAACAAGTGAAAGGCCACAAGATCAGGTGAGTATGATACATGTGGCAACACTTTTCATTCAAACTTTAAGAATTTTTTTCAGTGATCAAACTTGTTTCTGGTCTTGTTTCCAAGCTCGTACTAACAAGCTAACAAATAAATTCGAATGTGTGCTGTCGCCAACTGGACAGTTTCAATGAATCCATCTTCCAGACACTTTCAGAGCTCATTAATCATACAGGAACTGCATTCCATTCTGATAACACAAAACCACACACAAGTTAGATCACCTGATAAAATTTATTGGAGTTTGGATGAAAAGTTGTTGCCACATGTATCATACTCACTTGTGCCCTCAGAATTTCACTTGTTTTGCTGTCTCCAAAATTTCTTTCGTGGTATAACAATGAATTTAGATGAGGCCATAAATCGGAACACTGTTCAGTTTTTGCCAATAAATCTAGGTTCTTTAGTGAATGAGGAAGTACGAAGCTCATTAAAAGAAAGTAAAAAGTTATAAAAAAAAACAGGCAATTTATTATCGACTAGTTATTGTTCTTTTATATAAATAAAGGACCTTTGATGAACATAGAAAACATGCATCATGACTTTTCAAACAACCCAATATACAACAGCTAAAAGCATTTCTACATTTATAAATTTATTTTAGGACTTTACATAAATTACACACACAAACACATATATATGTAAGATAAAAAAATACGTAAATCAAAATTATAATTTAAACTAACAGTAACTCCTTACTTCTCTCTTTCTCTTCATTCTAAAAATTGTAATAACTCGTCTAGATTGTGTCATTCCTAGATCAATCCACCTTGTATGGCCTGCACAACACAGATGACGTAGTTATTTTGGAACTTAAACTCTAAGAACTGAAACCTTTCTAATTTAAATGAAAACCTTTCTCTTAATAGACTGCCAGATTGGATAACTGCACAGTTAGCTTGCAGCAGTGTTGCTGCTTGGACGCTGTGCTTTCTCGTGCTGCTAATAAAAATGTCATATTGTATATAAAATTGTGGTGTGCGTATTGTGCTCATGATCATTTGTAATGAATATAAGGTTTCAATAATTTGTTTGTGCCCAGCAATAAAGATTATGCTCAATTCACTACGTATGTCTACAAGTCTCTCCTTTGTGTGTCATCTTTCTAATTATGCAGCAGTCTCTCCAAGTTTTTATCATTATATATATATACAGATAATTTATAATAAGAAAACTTTCTATATACCATCTCCAAAAAACACAAATTCAGTTTAAAACCATGAATGAAAAAGATTTTAGAATTTAAAAGTCAGAATTTAAATTAGTATTTTAAATAGTAATTTCAATCTCCTTGTTTAAAAAAACCTGTTAAGAAAATCTTTAATTGCAAAAATACCAAAACCAAAGTACATTTTAAGTATAAAAAAAGTAGCTGTTGTCATTGATCGCGGATTAATCGACTTATCAAGGGGATAAACCAATCTACCATCAATTAACAACAACTAAATTAATAGAGAGTGTTTCATCTTTCTTCCAAGTAAGCACCAAATTATTTGCTAGATCCAAACCATAAGTCAATTAATACTCAATCCAAATAAAGACAATAGTCCATTTAAGCCAAAATAATATTGTTAAACAAAATAGCAAATAATCTTAAAATTTGTTATTAAGAACACAATTAATCTGAACGAGATGCTTACTTTAGAAGACATATATCCCCTACACTCTCATTTTCAAACTCAAAAACAGAAGTAAACAAATTAAAACATTAAAAGTTAATTCAAAATCATAAGAAGATAAAAAAATGATACCATCTTAAAATTAAAGTTTAAAACAAGCAGTTAATCAGAAATTTAAAGATCAAACTAATAAGCAAAACTTAATAAACTTGCCCTCAAAATTTTAATAGCAAATGGCTAGAATTTCTAGTATTAAGTGATGGAAGTAAAAGGGTTGTTGTAAAGTGCAGTTTTCTATAAAAGCTGCTATTAGTTAGAATATAAATTCAAAATAAAGTAATTAAAAGTAAATTAAAAAGCCTCTGACTTGCAGTAAAGCTGCAAAATAATAAATCAATAATTCATAATAATTTCTAATAAGAAAATTTTCTATATACCATATCCAAGGAACACAAATTCAATTTAAAACCATGAACAAAAAAAAAATTTTTTTTAGGATTATTTGCTCTTTTGTTTAACAAGATTCTGTTCGCTTAAATAGACTAATGTCTTTATTAGGATTGAGTATTAATTGACTTATATTTTGAATCTAGCAAATAATTTGATGCTTACTTGGAAGTAAGATGAAACACTCTCTATTAATTTAGTTGTTCTTAATTGATGATAGATTGGTTTACCCCTTTATAAGTCGATTAATCCGCAATCTATGACAATAGCTACGTTTTTAATACTTAAAATTTACTTTTGGTTTTGGATTTTTTCCGATTAAAGATTTTTCTCAGCAGATTTTTTAAACAAGGAGACTGA